TTGAAATTAAAATAATTTTTTTTAATCAATGTTTCTTTATATTTCTTTTGAATTGTTAATTATTTTTACTTATTTAGCTTAAAGCATTTGATTCTGAATTCACAATTAAAATTTAGAAGTTTGATGTTATGTTTTGATGCTATTATATGTGTGAAAAAAATTATTTCCTAATTTTTTGTAGACAAAATTTGATTATCCGTTTGTAGAGCCATTTTACATCACATATATACATACTTGTAACCTTTCTTTTTTGTTTTACTTCTTTACTCCCATTTGCAGACTGTGGCGTATCGTAGTCATGGAATATGATGATCAATCTGCTTATTGCATTATTAGAGATAATACTTACATGTCGTGTTATCGTTTTCTCTTGGGATATCTCCATGCTTTTTTGTGGTTTTAATTTTTGTCTTGAATTTGATTTTCTTGTTGTGGTTGCTATGAATATTTGTTGCACTATAATTTTTTCTATAATTATGTAAATATAAGGCATTCTCAACAAAAAAAACATGTAAATAAGGACCGGTCCATTAATGGTTTTCTAAATAGCACAAAGATACCAAATAACTAAACTATTGATGCTACACCTATAACATTATCTAAATGTTATGATTACTTTTTAGGTCAATTTATTGCATTCACGACGACTTCTGTCATCGTGTTTCATAGGATATGATTAAAGGATGCTTTGTTAGATGGTTAGATATCATGTCATTTGATTGGCTTACAATGAATAAGATTATTTTATTTCCTTCTTTTATTGTGCTACAAGATTTTTCATAAGCGAATTAAACTTAGCATATTGATTTTGTACAAGTATCTTTGATAGTAAATCATATGTTAAAAGTAGGATACAAGTAGCTTATCGAGGTTATAATTGCTAATGAAACTCTTCAAGGATGTAGTGTAATGCCGGACCAAACAACCTATCTCTAAAGCTTTTATGTATTTTAGAGAAAATACTCTAGCAATATTGGCATAGCTTCTAGCATTGTTATTGCACAGCAACAAAATCTATAAAAAGTTACTTAGAGAATAGGGTCCATGCTCAAAAATTGAAGAAAAAATTATGAAAAAAGTGATTGTCAATGATTTGTAGTTCATCAAAGCTCTTCTATAGCTATCAACAAATATGAGAAGGTGGGATGGTTGAGCAAGAAGTTGCCTCTTATAATTTTACCATTTAAAGAAGGGAAAAAGGACAAATATACCCCCGAACTATCGAAAATGGTATACAAATATCCTTTGTTATACTATTGAGACACTAGAGCCAATGCCCTTCTCTCTAATGGAAAGACACGTGTCGTCATCCTATGCATCTACCCTTATTATTCACTAATTTCTAAACCCACAACCCGAATTAAAAAGACCTGCCCAAATAACCCCCTAACCCACCCATTAAAAAGATCATCTCCTAAAAAAAGAACGGGAAAAAAACCCTTTTAACACTGGAGTCCCAACCAATTACCACCACACTCCTCCGTCAACTCCGTCGACAACCACCCTCTCCTCCTTTTTAGATCAAGTTCACACTTGTTGCTGCATGTAAACTTTCAATGTCGCCGACTTAATAATTTCCTTCAAGATTCAATAGAAACAAGTCAATGGAAGGATCCATTTCTAAGTAAACATACGTTTGGACATGGATCCATATAATGAATATTTTTAAAATTGAAATAATGAATTAGTTTGATAAATAAATATTTTACTGTTCAAAATTTTGAAGAAAAAGAAACTCTGCACAATATGCTGAAAAGGGTTAAAATGTCTTTTTTTGGTGTGAATTTGTACCGTTCTACGACATCGGAGTATGATAGTCACCGTTAACGGCGGAGCGAGAAGCAGAGGGAAGAACTTGATGTTAAGGTGATTCCGGTTGATACATTAAAAGTCGTTCTTCTCTACCTGAACCTTTATTGTCAAAAAAACCTCCGATGAGCTCATGGAAGGCACCTCAGGCGAATTAGAAAAAGAGATCTTTCAGACAAGGTTGAAATGCAAAGTAATGAAGTTGAACACAATGAAAAACAAAAGCCTCAACCACCGTCACCTCATATGCCGCCGTCGCTACTAACGGAGCTATCACCTACGGTGGAACAGCCTTAGAAGCTTCAACGGAGAAAGAGTGGCACGAAGGAATTAGCCACCTCCGCCTCATATGACGCCGTTCAAAATGCGGGAGATGAATTTTGTTCCCTCCGATGATTTCATCAGGATAAGGACCGCGCAGCTCGCCGGACCTTGAAGATGTTGACGTTGACGTTGACAATGTGGGTTAGGGGTTATTTGGGTGGGTCTTTTTAATTCGGGTTGTGGATTTAGAATTTGGTGAATAATAAGGGTAGATGCATAGGATGATGACACGTGTCCTTCCGTTAAAGAGAAGGGCATAAATGCTCCACTTTTTTAACGACAGGGGCTCTAGTGTCTCAATAGTATAACGAAGGGTATTTGTATACTATTTTCGATAGTTCGGGGATATATATGTCCTTTTTCCCTTTAAAAAATATCCTTCTTTTTGGATTGCCTAAATACTCAGTCTGTTGCACTCATGCTCAAGCCCAGATTGGAATAATCAAGAAATTAAGACACTCACTCAAAGCTTGCTCTAACTTTTATTCCAACACAAATGGTTAACATATCTTCTAAAAGCATTGGATGTTTATCTCTATTCTTCCATCAACAAAGACACACCATATTTTCATAAATTTAGAAATATTCTCTTATTTAGAATTTTAAAAGACTTCTCTTTGATTTTTCTCTATCTTCACATCTACGTACTGCAAATTCAGGTTATGTTTTTCTCAAATTTTCCCTAATGTTCTTTTGGTACTCTTAATTTTTTTTAGTTCAATGGGTTAAATTCACGCCTACTGTCATTATTCTTCTTCCAAAATCTCTCTTCAATGTTAAATTAGGCAAAGATCAGAGTTGCAGCTATGTTGAAGATCTTGCACTTTCTGAAATCTTCATTATAGTAATACTTTTTTGTTGAATAAGTGATATTTATAATTCATGTTACAATACAATGAAGAATGAAAAATAAACATTAGTTACTACAACACCTCTCTTTTTACGGAGTACTATAAATGTGGGGCTCATAGAATTGGTATAATATATTGGGAGAGATGAGCCATAGGTTCATCTAATAAAAAATTTCTTGTAATTGAGATCAAACTTTTTAATTATGTGTTCGAAGAGAGGGGTCAAGTCAACAATGAATATTTATGAAGAATGTGGTGCGAGCTTTTATAAGTTTACTCATTTGAAGTAATGTATGCAAAGTCATTGAGTCGAGGTGTCTTGTGTGTGCTTGTTGTTGTATATCTCTTGCCCTATCTCTATTACTTGTGTTGTTAACATGCCAGTTACTTAGCTCTATCAAAAGTGCGCCTCAATCACACCTTTTAATCTTGGTGGTTTGAGACTCTCCGTGGTTCCCTTCCTCCTCAAATACAAATGTAACTTTTCTTTTTGTTTATTAACATACAAGCACTTTGGTCTAGGTTCTCCATGGATTAGAACATTTTAAAAATATTTTACTCTTGATATTTTGCATAAACAGAGGCCATTTGTATGTCATGTAGATAACTGCCAGTCAAACTACCTTAAATAAGATCACTTGACAAGACGACGTCTCTTGTAGCACCAAGAGAAGTTGTTTGAGTGTTCACATAGAGAGTTTCCACCAACATATATATTGTGTGAAATATATGGATCCAAGCAAAATATAAGAAGAATATTAAGTGGGATAAAAACGAGTATACTCTTTTTGAGTCAATTATACAGAAATGAAGGAATTAATTATACCACCCCCGATATAAATATCATGTTCAATCAAGCACCATAATATATCTTGTGGTTAATCTTAGTGAAATTACCTTATCAACTGTGAGTCCATCTGTTTTCTGGATTCTATGCTAAATTTTCATCACTCATTTTCTTCCTTTGGATTTTCATTAATGTTTATTCTTTATGTTGTACATTATTTTATTTCGTCATTTTCAAGTTGTATACAAGTATAAACAACTATATTATCAATAATATAGACCACATATGGTGTGGAAGAATACAATCAACTCAACTTGTCAAACAAAACTTTCCTTTTTTCCAGAAGTATTCTAATGCGTGCAATGACTGAGCTTGAGGAAGTTTTACATTCATGATTGACTAATTTTAGCTTTAATCATTCCTGGACTACACTAACGTAGCCACTAATCTTACTTGTTATTTGTGACTCCTAGACTTACTGTAATTTCCATTTTGCTACATATGAGTGATTTTTGATATAATGGTATGTCATATTTACACTTTGGATTAAGTACTTTATATAATTGTACTATTTTTACCTATATTGTTTATTTGTTAATTGCAACATTGTAAATCTACAGGACGTTAATTAATATTATCATGATATTTTCTCTCTGAGTTAATACATTAAGATTGAGGACAGTAAAACAAGGTTGATTTATCATGATTACCGTGAAGTGTATTTGATAATATTGATTTATCATAATTATCGTGAAGTGTATTTGGTAATTGTGATGTGGTATAATTTTCTAAAAGTATGTTTTATTTGTTGATTTTGATATAAATTATTCATAAAAAATTTCAAAAGCTATAAAGGAACATGCTATATTGTCGCAATAGTGATTTGAAGAGTAATACCAACTCTCTGAGTATATCTACGTTCTAGATATAAGGAACGTGCTATGTCAATTGTCACAATATTGTTTGAAGATTTTGTACTAGGAAGAAAACAACAATGTGGTCCCAAGATATCTAATCTAGTATATAATAAATAATTAGTAATCCTAAATTGTCTAGGAGACGAATTTTATATTTGTTACGTTTCTTTAGTTTACCATAAATAAAAATAAATATTTCCTAATCAAAATCAAACTATGTTTTTCCTATTTATAATTAAACTGGGTTCGAAACTTTTATAAATACATGGGCTACTCTTATCCTAACACAACAATAATATATTCAGTGTAATTTCAGTACGAAATCAAAGCATGGCTTCCGTACCATCGTCCCAAGATATGTTAATTTCTTCTTTCCTTGATATCGCCGTCGATCAAACCGTCGATACTGCCCGGGAATTTCTTCAAGCAACAAATTGGAGTCTGGAGGAAGCAATTCAACGTTTTTTCTCCGGAAACAACAATGGAGGAGCAGAAGCAGCAGCAGAATCGTTCAATTATTCGCCATTAATCGAAGAAAATCCAACACTCTGGGAATCGGACGATGTACGTCTGCCATTACCGGTAAGACGGGAAGTTCTTTACGGTGAAAATTCAGGACTATACGAAGATGAGAGAGAACAAATCTCGTCTTCTACTTTTGACTCATATGACAATAATACCCTTTCTGTTCTGTTTCGTCCTCCTTATGAATTGTTATACAATGGACCATTTGATCACGCGAAAGAAGCTGGCGCAAAGCGGAACAGATGGCTTTTAGTGAATGTGCAATCCAGGAGTGAATTCGCCTCAGACACGCTTAATCGAGATACCTGGGCTAATGATATCGTTGCTCAGATGATCGAAAACAACTTCGTGTTTTGGCAAGAGGGAGACCATACAGAGGAAGGGCGAAAAGTTTGTACTTACTATAAATTAGATTCCAGGCCTGTGATATTAGTGATTGATCCTATAACAGGTCAAAATATGCGTTCCTGGAACGGAATGGTTCAGCCTGAGACGTTGCTTGAAGATGCTATGACTTTTATTGATCGTACTCCTTCAGAGTATCATTCAGATCTACTCAGAAAACAATTTGACAGATTAACTCATCTCGATAGAATTGAAGAAGGTACTGAGGAAAAGGAAAAGGAAATTACTAGTGAAGAAGAAGAAAATGATCAAAATGAGAATACGAATACGATTTATCTTCCTCTGCCTGAAGAACCTAATCGGAGTTTGATTGACAAAAATTTGGTCTGTAGAATCGCGATTCGTCTTCCTGATGGACGTAGAATTCAGAGGAATTTCATGAAAACTGATCCGATTAAGTTGTTATGGTCTTTTTGTTCAACTCAATTTGAAGAAGCAAAAACAAAGGCATTTCGATTCAGACAAGCAATGCCAGGGCCAACTAAGTTTTGGGCAAGTAATTTTTGGACTTGTGATAGTAACTTAACTTTTGAGGAGTCGGGTTTAGACAATTCTGTTATTGCACTAGTAATGATATAGATTTTTATTTTTACACATAGGAAGTCGAAGTAGCGCATGTTACAACTATTTCTTTGTTGTTTTTTTTGAATTGATTGAATTATTAGCTTTTTTTTTTCTTCGAATATAATATATATATATATTTTATTATTATTTTTTTGTTTATATTATTGTTTTTACGACGATGAACAAACTTACTACTAGTAATAAAAAGACGATAGAGGATTATATTTGATTTGTTTTGATCCTACTTGTAAATAGAAAACAAATCTATATGTATTAGACTATAGAACCAAAAGAACCAAATTCTACGTTTGAAAGGTGTTAGGTTACTATAGAATCAAATTATACATTTTAAAAGTGCTAGATTATTAGAGAATACTGGTGTATTGTAGATTAGACTTTGCTTTTTCGCTTCCGAAGCTATAACATATCAGCAGCAATGCTAGCTCGAAAAGGGCAGAATTGTAGCTTGAGGGTGAGAGGAAGGAGCTCTCTTTCAAGAGCCTCTTTTGTTGGGCTTGGCGGCTCCAATTGCAGGCCAGATTCAGATCCCCATGTTCAACATGAGGAATGGCTGGCGGAGCATCATGATTTTCTTTATGTTAAAGTACCACGTGATTATAAAAAACTGTTGCTACATACAAAATATCAATATTTATTACTCTTACAATCCTTCTTTTTCACTCTTTCAGGATTAAAAATATAATAAAATTTAATTAGATCGAAAATCATTTAAATTAACAATAAATGCTCATTGCTAACTCGAAACTTGTACGTGAGACATGGTTTTTATGTTGCAATCTGGGGTTTTTTTCTTCATTAATTAGCTATTTTCACTGGCTTGTTATGGTAAAATTTAATAATAGTTTGTTATGTACAAAATTTGCAAACATGCCAAAAATGAGCACTCGTGTATACTCAGTTATCATTTTCTTTTGTTGGTAAAATAATGTATCAACTAAACAATTATACTACCACATTAGGTAAGGGGCATAAAACTATATTATATAAAAGACAAAAAAGTATATCTGTCAATGATAATAATGTAACCCCATATTTTTGAGTCCTTCATATTGAAGAAAACAGAACCAATCACCAAAATGACACATCATTAAATGCATTTTTCTTTTAATTATTTCATTCCATAAAAGATCGTGCACGGTAGAATGCATTTGTGGGTGATGTCCCCAATAGGATGCAAATATATACTTATTTCCTCCTATTTTTACATTTTTCAAGTTCTGGTGACTTGAACCGATAACTTTAGGATCGGAGGTGGAGGGTATTTAGCATTTGAGCGATTTCCTTTTATCTAGATGTAAATACTTCTTTGTGAGCTTGTTTTTATTTGTTGTTGATGAATTTTCATAATTTAGATTTTTTAAAAAAAATTATGTTAATTTTTATTATATATGATGATATTAATTAAACTTAAACAAAGAAGTAAATTTTATAGAATTGATCCAACTTATTTGAAACTAATACATTATTGTTATTGTATTTTAATATTAACGAGTAACGACAAAAAGATTGGAATGGATACCCTACCTAATTCAAATTAAATTAAATTATTTTATATAAAGTTTTTCTTGTTGTTTATTCAAAAGATCCAATAATGTATATATTATTAGGCATCTCAAGGCAATTATAGATCCTACAAGGCAATTTTAATTGGTCATAAAAATCATTATTTTATGTATTTGTTTTCTTATGAATTTAGATGCAAAGAGTCCCAATGGTCATATAAGAAATATTGAATTAGCTTTCTGAGGTTAAATTAAGTTTAATTCTTAAAATTCATAATATGATATCAGAACAAGATTTTCTTTTAAAGAAAAAATAAAAAAATAATGAAACTCAAAGATAACGTAACTCAAAAAGAAAAATGCAAAAGGTGATTAATGAAAAATTGAATAATGAAATAGTCGGGAATGATGAAATAGCCAACCGACTGAACTATTATTCTCAACATTACTAAACAGGGCTTGGACACTTCTTTGGGACTACTTTTTATAATTTTTAAATCTGTTTTAGATCTAGAATATATGTATACAAAAAATAAAAATAAAAATTGGTGATAAGGAACACAAATTAAAATATTCTCTTGTTTCTTCTCTGTCTGTGAATGTCCAACTCCAAACCAAAATTCAATTGTTTAACATTTCTTCATCATGTGCTTTTGTAATCAGCTACTTGTCACTCCTTACACTCAAGATTTGTCGGTTACTTCAACTTGTATTTAATACTGTATAATCATCAATACCTGTTTTTTCACTTAAAAGGTTGATACCCTTTTGAAATATTTAGCTAAAGATTACATTTTTATGAATTTTCATTGAAGATCTTTGGCTATACTGATAGAGAAGAGCTAAGAAGAAGTGGGTATGCTGAAAAAAATGCTATTTCATTGGAAATCTTGGTGGAAATCTGTTTACAAGCAAAATCACTTTGTTTTGAAGTTGGGTTTTTCGATTCTCCTTGTGGGTCTTGCTTTTAGGCTTTTATTTTCAAGATCTGATGTGATTTCTGAAGTTCAAGAAACCCCTTTTGTTCAAAAGACTCTATTTTCACCGCCTCCTGTTTCTTTCAGTTTGCCTGAGATTGCAGATCAGAATGGTCCTGAAGGTATTTCAGCTTTTTCCCAATTCTTGGATTTGTAGTTTAGAGTATGTAATGTATTTGAATGTGATTAGGGAAGGTAAATGCTTAATGATCATTTATTGTTCTTAAGGAAGAAGAGTTGCATGATTGAGAAATGTGATAATTTATGTACTTTTGGATCTGTTATAGTTATAATGTTTATGTTTATATTTCTTATATATCCATTATACAAATGAGTAGTCTGTGCAGTGTATTCTTCACTCATTGAGCTATGATCATGGAATCTCTGCTTTTTCCCCTTCCTTTTAGTGGTTTCTGGATTATCTTGTCCTTGATTTTAGCGTCTCCTTGGCTTTGGTTATTGTATTATTTGTTGTTGCTACTGTTATCTTCTCCATTTGTTTTCAGTATGGATTCTTCATTACTATATTTGCTTTACATGCTGTATTTTTTAATATGCTTTACTTGAGCTGAGGGTCTATTGGAAATGGTCTCTAAGGTTGCGCAGACACCACCTTCCCTAGCATCACTCGTGGGATTATAGTGGATATGTTGGTGTATTTAGTGGTTCTGGTTCTTAGGAGTGCAGTTTATTAGCTTTAATTTTTGTGACTGAGTAAGTTAAAATGTGCAACTAAGATGCCTTATTATTGGTTTGTATTTCATTTGGTATGGAGCCTGGGTGGTTTCCTGGTGGGGAGCTCGAAATGATTGAAATTGTTACAAGTGTTAAAGTTGACAGGGTACATAGTACTACACTTTGTTTGATTTGCGTAGCTTGCACCACGTCATAGTAGGTTATAGATTTGTTGGCTGGTTCTTTAGTTGTTTTCCCTTTATAGTATGTCTTATTTTGGAATATCAAGTTTGTTATCTCTGTCGTCACATGGTGCCGTTTGTTTCCTTGGCTGTGCTATAGAGCAAGCAGGGACGTGTAATCTTTTCATCGGAGATTGGATTCCTGATCCAGCTGGTCCTGTTTACACGAATGAGACATGCAAATTTATTGAAGACCATCAGAATTGTATGAAGAATGGCCGACCAGATAACGGTTATCTTTACTGGAGGTGGAATCCACGAAATTGCAAGTTGCCTCGGTTAAATCCACTCAAGTTTCTTCAATTTATGAGAAATAAAACATGGGCATTAATTGGTGATTCAATATCAAGGAACCATGTCCAATCATTTCTTTGCGTACTCTCAAAGGTAGCAAGTTACAATCATTGTCAATAGCTCTAAATTGTTTGTGTAAGTTTTGGTTGTTCTTTTGCCATGTTTCCACCATGATTTTGCATTGGCATTGATCAAGTAACAAAATGATCGTTTTGATCGTCATTGCTTGGATTATCTTTTTCCTTCAAGGCATGATACATTCTGCTCGCTTGTCTTGAATAAGTTAGCGCTTAAATTTTTGCCTAGGACATTTTTGGTTATCCAATTGGTACAAATTAATGAAATGAGGATTATGATGTTCCATTCCCATGTTTGGTATCCTTGATTATGTTCGCTCCGTGCCACCGAAAATGAACCGTCCAACTTGTGTTGTTGAAGAATGTGGTGGAGAAAAGTTTGTCCAGAAGTAGAAATGAACTGATACAGCTTTCTATAGTAATAAAAAAATGCATCGGAGCTTTCTATTTTTTTTAAAAAAAGTGGGCAGCATTTGGGGCAGCCCAAGAAGAAAAGTCAGTCAATTTGGAATGGATGTAGTATTTGTTTTGAATCTCGTTAAATTAGGTGTTTCAAACATTAAAGTGCATGTGTGTAACTTTATATTGCATGGAAGCTGTTACTGGGAGATAGCGTGAATGTTATCTGTTGAATATTTTAAATCACCATTATAATATTGCCGGAGTATTTCCCTCAGTAAGAACAGTAATCATACTTTCTGAAGAGATGCTTACTGGTTTCTTTCAACTTAATTTTTAGTTGAAGCCTTAAAATCTTCCTCGGTGTTCATGTTTTTTCTTGCTTCCCACCATTTTGGTCTCTGCTAGGAAATGTTTGTAACCGGTTAATTATTGAGCTATCAAGTTTGGTTAGCTTTACTTGGGTACCGAAAGCCAACTAGATTCATGGTAACAGGTTTCAGCACACACTTATTGAAGACCTTATATTAGAGTAGTTGAAGTAAGGAGCCTCCTGTGTAAAGTGTAAGATGTTAGTATCATCTTGGATTTTTCAGAAGATCAGACTGCTTATATGAAGATTTGATAAATAAAAGTCAGTTTAGCACAGAAACTATTTTTTTTTTTTTGATGACAAGGGAAACCCGCAGCCGCTACCCTTTTGGGTGCGCACAGGGTAAAACCCCCGCTCCTATGCAATAGCTCGCAAACCACATAGGAGAGGTAACCCGCACTAGGCAAGCCCGGTGTGACGAGCTCGACCCAGAAGGCAAACCCCTTGCTATAGTG